GGGGGAGAGGGGGATAGTCGTTTAGTTTAGCCTTTCAGGCTTCAGAGGTTGTATTCATATGAGTGTGATGAAAGAATGAAGCAATTGGAATTTGAAAGTATAAACTAATTTAAAGATCATCTATGTGACTAGAGGCAAAAACCACAAAGAAAATATGGATCTTGCATTTAATTTTCCACAAGAACCAACCACGAAGGTAAGGAAGCAAGCTTTGGTTGAAGGAGTCGAAAATCGCGACACTTAGGTCCCAAGTTCGAACGCAGACTACCCAAAAAGAAATTGCTCAAATATTTATTCATAAGAATTCTAATGTGCATGCGCACGCACATAGATTGACAAAACTACACACAGGAACATAACTACAAAGAAGTTCTCTCCGTAGTTGTATTCTATCAAATCCATGAGAAAGAGAGAGAGTAGCAGGGATCCATGTTCACTTTCATTGCTTCAATAGCTAAAACTGAGATCAGGAAATGCATCACTGCAAAAATTATCTATCAATTATCAAACAAAACAAAGGAAGAGCAATAGGCTCTGCGACTGCAATAGCCACCACATAGATTGATGAATGTTTCACTGTAGTTGAATTCTATCAAGCACATCATAAAGAGAAAGATAGATCGAGAGATAAAGAGAGGATTTGATATAGAGATAGAGAGAATTACCAAACAAAAAAACACAGACAGAATTATCCAAAAAGAACAGTGAGAGAACTGGTCACGGAGATAGATATATATATATATAGAGAGAAATAGCAGTTTTACCCTACCTTATGCATGCTCTCTGGCCACTGCGCTGGGATCCTGTACCCCTCCGGCGGTGGGATTAAACACAGCGGCGAATCCTCCGGTTTGGGGCAGTGCCTCTCCCTGTAAAAATTCCTCTCTCTACTCAACTGGCTGTTCCTCCTCGGGTCCTCGCACGGCATGTAATCTGCATCCACTGCTTCCAAGGAGCAAAAATCCAGCACCTTACGTCCCATCTCGGCGAGACCGGCCACCTCCGCCCGCTGCTTCAGGTCAAGAACCGATGCCTGTGCCAGCGCCTGCCGGCCCGAGGCGGCGAGAGAGTCCCCAAGAGGGGTGAAAACCAGGAGGAAGAACGCCAAAACTGCCGCAAAGAAGGCAGCGGAGATGAGGTCCAGAACCCGCCATCCCCGAGGCTGGAGCTTCTTTGGAGTTAGGGTTATGTGCCCCATTTTCAGACAATTACCGCCTTTTTCTTCCCCTCTATGTATAATTGTATCAGATCCGCATTGCCTCTCCCTCGGCAACTCTCGCCGTGTCCGACACTGCTGAGTATCAGATCGCGTCTCTGCAACTCTCGCTGTATCCCACACTTGTTCGCGTGTCTAAGTTTGTGCGTGAGTGAGAGTGGAATGAGGAGGGCAGTGTTTTGGATTTGATGTGTTTTGGTTGAGGGTTTGTTTGTCGGGAATCATAGGCGGAAAAAGTTCACATTAAGTCGGAAGCCCCTACAATATAAAACTTACATATAGATAAACTTATATATATATATATATATATATATATTTCTCCTAATCCAACCATCCAATCTGAATGGAGAGTTTAGATAGTCCCAATCACAATGTCACATCTTTACACTATTTTATTTTTAATTTTTTTAAAAAAATATTTTGACACCAAATTTTAGATGTCCAATCCTCTATTAATCTCACATTATTGAAAAATATATATAAAAAAAAATATTAAATAAAATAAAATGACCAAAATACCTTTGAAGGGGTCTCATAGGATCATTATATATAAATAATGATCCTATGAGACCCTCCCACACTCATGTGTGCTGGATCGCAAATGATCACCATTAAATTTGACACAGATATCTAAAAAAGTCAAGTCTCACACCCATGTGATCACTTTTCTAGATATATGTGTCAAATTTAATAGC